CAAAACATTTTCTTTCTACCTGAGCCCTCAGTATCAGCTCTTTTTTCCCCTCCCTCCCCTCCCCTCCCACCTTTGTGAATCCTTGATCAATAATATATTATTGTTGTTGTTATTTCATGTCTTACACTGTCCATTGTCTCTCCTCACCCACATTTGTTATTCAGCCCCCTTGAGGGGAGGGGGGCTATATACCCAACCTTATGATGGGCACCCCTCCCCGACCCCCTCCCCTCCCCTCATGATATGGCGCCTTCCACTGTTCCTGAGGCTTATCTCTCTTGAGTTCCAGGTGTCCAGAGCTCTTGTGTACCAATGTGTGTACTCCGGTCTAGCCAGGAACTGAATTTTTAAATTAATTATCATCATTTAATATGAACTACTTTCTATTTATGTCAGATTATGCAGCATGAAATTATTATGAGTATGTCATTAAGTATGCCATATTAACTGCGTAATAAATTAGATTTTATCATAACGGTAAACCATATGCGTATAAGCGCAGTTTTCATAGATCGTTGCTTATGCGGTGTTGCTTTCTGCTTGTGCAGCATCTTAAAACCATTAGAGAAAGCCATTTGTTGTATTACATCTGGCCGTACCTTTAAAACGGCTTCTTAAGGGCGGTTGTGAGCTTACGTTTTCATGGCTGTTTGCCTTTTGAATATTCCTTCCACAAAAGAAAGCAACATGAATCATTCTTTTCTTTATAATTTATAGATTTTGTATGCTGAAACTTCTCAACCAGAAGAAAGGGACTTCGCAGTGTCCTTTGTGTAAGAATAATATAACCAAAAGGTATATATTGTGGGTAGTGATGGGAACCACAACAGTAAAAAAATAGAAGAAATTGTTTAGCATCACAATTTTTGTCCTTATCAAACTACCCATAAATAGACAAATATGTAAGAGTGGCTAGCAGACACAGTAAATTATTTCTGAAGTCATTTTCCTCAAAGTGTTATGCCATATAAAGGTATTCACGATTTATTTTTTGTTTTTGAATAGTGCAGGAAACTTTGGATCTTAACAAAAGTAAGACTCTTATCAGCCACCTGTGCCCATTCTGTCTGCTGATCCTGTTTTCATTGTCTCTTTTGCCAGGGCGTAAAGTTTTCTTAGGGCAGTGACTGTCTCGGCACTGCATTTACAATGGTCGGTACATAGGAAGTGCTTAGGTATATAAAGGAATGAGCGCATTTAATTTTCCTACAATTTTCCCAAGTCATGATCTTTCTTTGGACATCGTTATTTAACTAGATTTTCAAAATATTGTAATCATTGTGTGACAGAAAAGTCTGAGAAAAGGAGCTAGAAATGGGGGCTTGGGTGGGGTTCAGATCATAATAGTGTATATTTTGTGCAGTGCCCTTAAAAATTTGGTACTATCTTGCTCTTAACAATTTATCTCTCAAACAATTTAATTTCAGAAGCCTACAAGAAAGTACAAGATTTAGTAAACTTGTTGAAGAGCTGTTGAAAACCATTCATGCTTTTGAACTTGACACAGGATTGCAGTGTAAGTATTACATATTACTTGAAGCCGATGTTCAAGTGGCTATCCATTCTAACTCAAGAAATTTGCACAATTATTTTCTATAAGTAGATGATAAGGCTTTAATGTTACAGAAAATAATGGTGTGTCTAAACCTCATTGGTGTTAGATTCAGTAATAGTCTTAATAAGTAAGTTTGTTAATATTGAGGTGGGGGGAAAAGAGTAGAAATAACTTTGATGGCCTGTTCATTTATGTCTCATGAGTAGAATTTTCAAAGTTGCCTTAGAATAACAACACAAATGTTACAGGTTCAATTTATTATGAACACTACACTAATGTATTGTCATAACGCACCAGCTTCTCTTGGGTTCCTTGATGATAATTCATTCTTTTTCTAATTCTAAACATGTTTTTTCTTATAATTCAACAGTTGAAAACAGTTACAACTTTTTAAAAAAACAAAATAACTCTCCTGAGCATGTAAAGGAGGAAGTATCTATCATCCAAAGTATGGGCTACCGGAACCGGGCCAAAGCACTTCGACAGAACAAACCTGAAAGTCCTGCCTTGGTAAAGCCACTTTCATTTATGTTGGCAGCACCTCTTCGTTGAGCTCTGTGAGTTAGCGAGTGTGCTCGATGCTCACTGACTTCCATAAAGAGCCAGTGAAGGAGTCAGATGATAGAGCAAAGGTGCGATCACGCGTGTTCTCATCAAGGGGCGTTAGCAGAGTCCGCGGGAGGTTGGTGTACCTGATGGGTCGACAGAGGCCTTAGCTCTTTTCCTACTGTGGGATGCGTGTCTAAATCAGCCATGAGATTACTGATATGCTTCAACCAACCATCTGTGGCAAGTCTTCTAACATGAAACAATATCGTATTTCTTCCGAAAAGTTGTCTAGACAAGGGGGAGTCAACTTGCAAAATTTGAAAATTACTTCAGCCAAAAAGGTATGGTTGTCACTGAAATGGCAGTGATATCCTCTGTTGTAACATACCATAGTTGTGAGGTGCCATCAGCTCAATAGAACAGAACCCTGCCTGGTCCTCAGAATGCCAGTTATGTGTGAGCCATTGTCCTAGCCCCTTTGTCAATCCATCTTGTTGGGATCTTAAACGTAACGGTTTTTGTAGTACCAGCATTATAAAAGAGTTGAGGGAGTGGTTCTGCATTGAGCTGCGATTGGCAAGGTCAGCAGTTTGAAACCACTCGGGAGAAAGACTGGGTCTTCTACTCCTGTAAAGAGTTACAGTGTTAGAAACCCACAGGGCGGTTCTACTCTGCTTATAGGCTCACTGAATTGGCACCGACTTAATGACAGGGAATGTTTTTGAGACAAGAAAGAAGGAAAGAAATGAGGACCTAATGTCGGGGGTTTAAGTGGAGAGAAAATGTTTTGAGAACGATGTACAAATGCGCTTTACATAATTGATGTGTGTATGGATTGCGATAACAGTTGTATGAGCCCCGAATAAAATGGTTTTTTTTAAAAAAAAAGGAGAGCGCTGCCCGTCAGCTTTCATAAATATTAAATTAAAAAGAAAGAAGGAAAGTTTCATCAAAGTGTACCGTTGGGCTTTAAAATCTTTCTTTTACTAATGTTCTTAGGAATGTTGAGTATTTATCGTCTTTATTTCCCCTTGTTTAACAGATATAATCAGAAAGATGTGTTAAATCAATCTCTTTCCTTTCCTACACTATGACATAAAGTGTAAGCTTCAAAGGATATGTTTTTTACACTTTAAAAACTTAAGCACATGGGCACCATCTAATTTCTTCACCACAGTTTGCTTTGCACCCATATCTTCAGTGCTCTCTTCATGAGGGTGAGTACTGAGCAGGGCCACATCACAAGAACAAATTGTTCTTAGATTAGGAGAGCTCAAAATCCCTTCATATTTAAAGTTTATATATCTCTCTGCCTACTGTAGCGGCAACATCATCAGCCTCTTGACGTATCGTCTCTTCCCACAGCTGTAGTAAATTTGATGCCTGTATATTCCATATGGCCAACTCCACATGTATAGTTGTCATATATGTTGTTGTAAGAGGTCTATGCAAGGAATAAGTTGTTGGTTTGCAAAAAAAACCCAAAAAAACTTAAACACAAGGGACGGAGCACTAGAACGGATTGTGGCTGCACAGCTCCTTTAATTTAACCATGGGGGAGGGGAGTGCTCTAAAATTGATATGGCAGTGATTATCCAATTCTCCTTGATTGAATGATTGGATTATGTGATGTATAAATTAGCGCCAATAAAACTGTTGGGGTGAGTGGGGAGTAAGACTGGTCAGCAACTAAACCAGTCTCTGATCCAGCCTGTTCTGTTAACCAGCTATTTATCTCATTATGCCTCCATACCCCGAACACATTCACCTCCTCCACAAGGGTAATAAACCATATATTTCCTTTTTAAAAAAAATCATTTTATTGAGGGCTCTTACAACTCTTACCACAATCCATACATACATCCTTTGTATGTCAAGCACATCTGTACATGTGTTGCCCTCATCTTTCTCAAAACATTTGCTTTCTACTTGAGCCCTTGGTATCAGCTCATTTTTTCCCCTCCTTCCCCGCTCCTCCACCCTAAACCATAATTTTCAATGTAAAAAAAAAACCCACTAACAACTTAAATACAAATAATACATACTGCATTTCAAAAAATGTAGAGCAGAGAGAAGGGGAAATATTCAAATCACACCTGATTCAGGCATTTTGGTATGTAATTCGCCAGGATTCTTTTCCAGGTATCAGATAAAATTTGGTTAGTTGATCATGGCTGATTTGTTTTGTTCACGGGCTCAAGTTTCAAGAAACACACAGAACTAGACAAAAATTAGCTGACAGCGCTTTCCTGTGCTTCTTAGCAGGAAAACAATCCTGACGCTCAGCCCGCCAACCCTGGAACTGTGATGTCTTTGAGGACCAAGCAGAAGAAGAAAAAAAAGGCTGTCTACATTGAATTGGGTAAGGGTCGCCAAGCTTGAATTCTAGAATAATAGTTGCTGAACTTCTTGGCATCCAGTCCTACCGAGGTTTTGGTCTTAATTTATGCATGTGCCAAGATTTGAGAAACGAAAATAAGATAATTTTACAAATCCTATAAATAATGTGAAAGTTAAAATTCCCACCTGAAGAACCTTACGTTATAAAGGGAACCAAAGGCAGGAAGTCTCGTTAAAGTGTATGTAAATACACTTAGGGCATATGGGTATTACGGCATTTGGAGGGATCAGAGATATTATACTAGAGCAAGAAGCCTTTTTGGAAGTGCTAAATTCATCATTCAAACAGACCTCTAGTTGCTGTATCTTAGGATATGAAGGTGTGTCCCAAATTTTGTGGAATTTTCCCACGAACTTTTTATAGCATCCTTGTATATTTAGAATTGGCCAAAGTGGACTCCTCTGAGCTGCCAAGCTCCCTACCTATGTTTACCACAGCACTTAACAGATTTTATTGAACTTACTGTGTCTTTCCCCCAACTAAAGATGGTAAGTTCCTGGACAACAGGTATCGTGTCATGAAAAGTAATGAGACTAATTTTCCTAGCTACATGTTTGAGCTCTTCATAGATTGCAAGCACTGTTGTGTTTTACTCCTATAACCACATAGGTACGTGACATCTTTGAGGTGCGGTGACTCTTCTTGCATTCACTTGACAGATGAGGAGAATGAGGCACAGCGGGTTCAGGCAGAAAGCGAGTCAGCAGCAAAGCCAAGATAGACCCCGGAAGTCTGACTTGAGAGGCACTGTTTTTACGCTTCTCTGTTGTTTGACCCATCTGTTGTGCCTTCCATGTTGTGGGCGCTTAGTGTATATTTCTATTTTGTAGCACCTTTTTTTTTTTTTTGGAGTTTAACCTTCTCATTGAAAGACTTCTTACTAATTTGATTTTGGGGGTTCTTTGGGGAAATTTTTTTAGGATCTGATTCTTCTGAAGACACAGCTCATCAAGCAAGTTATTACAGGTGAGTCAACGAGAGCTTTTCGTCTGTGAGGCCGGTCGGTTTATATTCAGCTATGTATCAGGGACTGGCTTCTCTAGATTAGAATCTCGGCATCGGAAGAGACTTTAGAAATCAGCTAGTTCAACCCTGTCTGTTGAGAGCTCAGGAAATAACACCAGTTTGGCATGCTTTATTAAAAATGTCCAAACACTTGAAGATAACAGGAGAACTCTGCACAGGCTTGCTGCCAGCAGAGGGCTGCTCTCAGGCTTAACTCCTTACAGACACTTGTCTTGACGCCATTGTCATTGTGGCTGATGAAGTTTGGATGACTCCAGTTTCAGCTCTTTGCTTCCTTGCTTAACTCTTTCTCGGGAACTAGGTGGCATTGTCCGAAGCAGATCATCACTTTTACATTCAACTCGACTCTTTTTGCTTCCTAATTCTACCTGCCCTTTAAGCTTTCTGTACAAACCTTCTATACAGATTATACATAATCTATCAGCCACCTCCAACTGGGTGATCTGCCAAATTCATTTTTGTAGTAATCAGTTGTTGACCTTATTCTCGTCTG